TGTCCTCTGCCACCACCCCCATCCCCCCCCCCCCCCCCCCCCCCCAGCAATTAGTGCTGATTAGAGACTAAGTGCAGGTTGAGCTGGAGGCACCGGTCAGATCCCCCCTGCCCAGTTCCCTGGGGGGCGGGGGAGGGGTGCAATGCCCCCAGAATGTTCTTTATCTCCCCATGTCCATATGGGCATTGCAACCAGCAACATGATGTGCATGTCGGGTAAATGGAGTGGTTGGGGAAAGCGGCACACGTCAAATCCATGGCAACAGGCCGTGACCTGAAGCTTCTCCATTGAGGAGCAAATCTGGTCTTCAAAACATGTCAGCTTCTCATGGAAACCTGAGGTCCTGGACAACAAGGGGGAAATTGGAGATCCGGAGTGACCTCAGCATGGAGCGGCTGCTACTTCAGATGGGAGGAGTCAGATGGTTTGGATACCACCTGGACAGATGCCCTGAGGCAGACCCAGGACATGCTGCACGGAATATATCTCCCAGATGGCCTGGAATCACCTGGGCTTCATCCAGGGATAGCTGGAGTTTGAGGCCATGGATAGTAAGGGAAGCGTCACCCGCTTGTCATGCTGCCATGGTGCTCCTCACCGGGATAATCGTCATGGAGATGATGATGACGATGACGATGAAGATGATGGTGAAGACGATAATGAGTATCACTACAAACTGAACATCATTCCTCTAGGTACTCTCAAAGTCCACCGAGAGTGGAACTGATTACTCTTAATTATGTGCCAGTGGGTGTCCTGGCATCCCGTACAGGGAGTCCCCTGCCCAGTGCCCTGAGCTGTCTGAGATAGGCTCCGCCCCCCCCCCAACCCCCCCGCCCCCGTAGACGTTGTACCGGATAAGCAGTGAGCAAAATATTATGAAGCCTGTTTTCCTATATAGATACTATATTCAGACTCAATATCAGGTAGAATCCAATTCTGCCTCCGGAACCATGATTGATGAGTCGTGCATTCAGAGATGCTACCACTGTTCTATTGAGCTGTTTTTTGTTCCTCACACCATTCCCTGTAAACTAGACACTGAAGATCCCAGAGAGGGGGGCTGTTTCTGAGATGTTAGAACCACAACATCTGGGGGATGGGGGTGTGGGGGGAGGGCTGTGTCTGAGATATTGGCACCAACAATCAAGCCTGCTTGTTTGATTTTGATAAACTCAGATCTAACGTCCAGTCTCTTCATTTCTTCCTTATGTGGCGAAACCCGCTCACTGCAAGATACCTGCTTTTGCCTCGCGATGCACGAATGCTGCCAATGATGTAACATTAAATATGCAGTTGAAAAATACAGTGAGAAATCAACACCAATTGCTTTGCCAGAAATCAAATATAATTCTGGCTTTTATGAATCGATTTATTGATTTGCATTCAATTATTTGTAGGATTTTTTTGCGATTGTTCATCACTGCATTCTTAAGGATGCTCTAACAGTCTGGTGCCCCCCGGATCCACACAGTCAGCAAGCCTCCTGACCCTGTCTGTGTGCTGCATCTACTCAGCCACACGACCGGCTCTCTGCTGGAGTTGCCTTCTGCTTTAGTCACAAAGTGGCCAGTGGGTGTTTTTCAGTATTAGAGGGAAGCTTTGCTGTCGTATATTTACACCAGGATCAAGGTTTTTTCCTGTCACAGCCACTGGAGATGAAAGGAAGCATCTTCCTCACTGCGGACGCCATTAAGAGCCGGAGGGGGGGCAAAGGCTAAACTAAACAGAAATGCGGTCACATGACCAGGAAATCCATGCCCTGTGTGAGCTGCGGCCCAGGCATTCCCCGGGACTTCCCGTTGGACGGCCCGGCCTGGCGCGCCCCCTCCCCTAGGCGGTGTTCGGGGGGAGGGGGGGCTAAGAACCAGCCCCAAACCATTGTCTGAGTTCCCGTCACAAGCTCGGACACAATGGAGGCCATCTCGCAGTGTCAGATAGAGTGGTGAGTGCTCATGGCCCAGTTCAGAGACCCACAGAGGGTCTGGGAAGGGCCCCCTAATTTCTCAGCAGTGAACTGGGGGGGGGACCATCGCTGCATTTTTTTTGTTTTGTTGCATATTATTTTTGTGCACCATTGGTGGCTTTCTGAGCAAAACTGAAGGTTAACGTTATAAATAATGTAAGATCAGTCTCTGGTCTTTTTTACTTGTATGTATGGTAGACTGTTCCTTCATCTGATTTAGCATGCTGGTAGCACATACTTAGTATGCCCTTGTCTTGTCTTTCTATTGGTTTTTGTGTTACTATGCAACCAATAGGTAACTCTCTGGGCCAATCAAAATTAAGAATACCAGCAATAGATGACTGTGGTAGCAACCAAAAAAACATGTTTTATTGTCAAGGGACTCTGGTGAAAAAGACTCCATAGGGCCCTCCATCCCCCGCCCCCCTCCCCCAACAGTAAGATTTATTATATCTTTTTACAGTGAAGTGTGTGTTTAAAATACCAACAAAGAGAATTTAATAAACACAAGACCTTTATTTTCACTAAAAAATAGAATACACAAATAAAGCAGAATTATTGATGCCATGTACTATGTAATCGGCCTCCTCGGGGGCCCCCTCCCAGCTCGGGGCCCCAGGCCATTGCCTGCCCCCCCAGTCCTGTCACTGCACCTCTGAGGCCAGGCACCCCAGTCTGCAGGGCTGGGGATTAGACTCCGGCTGCCTGTGCCTTTGAATAACCACAGTGCATCCCAAAGCATGTCTTGATAGTTCCCAAGGTGAGATTTCTGGGCTAAATGGAAAGGCTGGTTTAAAACACAAAGGAACCAAGAAAGAAGTAGTGACATGTCTCTTGAGACGATTCCCAGCAGCAGCCGTGATACTCTGAGAGGGACTGTTATTCACTATGGCTGCCTGGCTCTTATCTGCCTACGCTGTCAGGACACTATCGGCGGTGGCTGAGGGATTCCAGTGATCACCTTTACAGGAATGTGCAGAGATACACTGTGCTCCAGCTGGACGACAGTAGGAGGAGCCAGCAACTGATGGGACCAATGGCGTTGTGCTAATCAATTTAGGTAGGCATGTGCCTACCCAGTTCATCCATCCATCCATTATCGTAACCGCTTAGTCCCCACTGGGGACTAAGGTGGGAACCAACCCCGCAGGTGGGAACCAACCCTGGGCGGGCACCAATACACTGCAGGGTGCACACAATCACACAACCACACCCACGTTCACACAGCCACACCCACATTCACACAGCCACATTCACACAACTACAGGGCCAATTTTAGACACGCCAATCAGCCTACCCTGCATGCTTTTGGACTGTGGGAGGAAACTGGAGCTGTCTACCTAATATTTTATTAAAAATGTGTTGTATAAATTAATTATTCGGTCAACCAATAACTTGCCTAAATTGACTATGAATAACAGGTTGTTAAACGTGCGGTCAGGGTGGTCTGGCCAATAAGTGAGCTTCCTCCGTCAGATGGCATCTCTTAATCCCCTCCCCTAAGCGTCGTCATTCCCGTCATCTTCCGATAACGCTACACATCATCAATGAGTTGTTACATCGTGACATTCACGGCTAACATTGCTGCAGCAAACACCGTTAGCTGACCATTTGAATGTATAATAGTTACATAAAGTTTCAAAAACATTAATATCTGCATATGTGTTTTGTATGTATTGTGAGGTTTTCAAATGGCACCTACCCGCAAATTTGGTTCTCACAAAGCCCCTGGATGGGACAAATGTTCTGAAAGACCCAATTAAGGGACATGTTGTGGTATGGTGTGTATAATCATGCGAGTACCACAAAAAAGCAGTAACGGGGACACTGCCTCTTTAAAAGCCAAATGATTAATGCTGATATTTAAACTGGTATACACGATATAGGAGTGCTGTCCCAATCCACCTTGGCCCCAGGGCCGGAAAGAAGGAGACACCAGCATAGAAGTGGAGTATTTTATATTTTTCCAGTTCCCAAAGTCCAGGATGTGTTGAACATCTAGCCAGTTGGCCTGGATTGGGAGAGTGTTTCTATGTCTATCTATGTTGTATATCTCAGGGCATTTTGAAAAACGTTGATTTTCATCCAGTGTTTCATCGAGCGGGAACACTATCTTGCAACCTTATACATAGTGAGCCATAAAGTGTACTTCAGGGGTGCAGGTGCAGCCTGCAGTAACACCGACAGCCCACTTGGCGGCGATGTAACGTAACAAACCTTGAAAGTCCATATCAAATACATGGTATGATTTATTAAATAACAAAAATATATATTAGCGTGGCGGAGATAACTTTTTAGCTGCTGTTGTCATTAACGTTAGTTAAGGACTGTCGAAAAGCACTAATCGTCAAAAAGGCCTGAAAGAAAGACGGGTTACTTTCTTGTAAGAAAAACAGCATCTCATTGCGGGGTGTGATATTATCACTCTAAACCGGGGTGACATTGCAAACATTTACATACAACCCCACGTCTCCCTTTCCAGAAGCTCCACTATTCAACACTCTGATATAGACCATCTTAGAAGCTGTGAGTGTCTGTTATTTTAACTTATCGACTGGAAAATGCAAATAAAACACACTTCGCGCGCTGTACACCGCGCCGATCTCGCATAAGGCACATGCTGACATGCGGGGCTTTTTAGGGGGGTTGGAGCCCCACTTTGAGTCCCGCACTGAAGCGCCCCGTCGGGATCGCGTCCTCTGGCGCAGCGGAGGACCCACTACTCTGCACCCCGCCGTCCCATCCCATCGCGTCCCGTCCCGTTCCGTCCCATCCCATCCCAGGCTGGATCGGGGCAGCCCTCTCCCGGCGGATCGGTGATGTCATTGCAAACTTCACCACCCGCTCCCCCATCCACAGGCGGCGGGTTCAGCTCGTTTTTTTTTGTGCCGTTCTGCCGAAGATTACAGCGCCCTGGACTGGAGTCGGACGGATTTTAGGAATACCGAGAGTACTGCTTTGATAAACTTCTCTCTTTTTGTGGATAGATTGGCGACTCCCCTTATTTTTGGTGTCGGAGAGGGCGACGGGCGACCCAGAGACAGTGAAAAGGGAGTGAAAATGAATCGGAGTTTTAATAAATCGCAGTCCTTGCGGTACTTGGACTGTAATGCGGTTGAAGTTAAGAGCAAGGTAAGTTTACCACGAGTAGCGGCTTATATCGAGTGATCCGGCATTCAGATGTTTTGTACTGCTATTTCAACTTTGTCATCTGCTATTTTAGTTTGTTGGTGGGGCGACCGTGTAGAGATTTTCAGATGTCGCTCATAGCTCATGCTAGCAGAGGCAGCTTTAAAAAGCGGATTAATGAGATCAAAACGCAGCATTAGTCAAAAGTACGGACAGAAACCACGTTTACCGCAGTGAAAACTAACGAACTTGCTCATACGATTTCGGGAGGTCTGGGTATTTTTAAGGCAGTAAACTTTATGAGAATTCCATTGTATAGGTAGTGTAAGAGTGTGAGAATCGATTAAACTTGTGCTTTTTTTTTTTGGAAAGTCAAGATGCGTCGGAGCAGAGCAGAAGCCCTGCGTGTATTTTCTGCGGAATGCATGAGTTTGGGCTAAGTCGCGCGCCAGCTTGGGAAAACTCAAGGTCCATCTCTGCTGCTAATGTTTTTCCTGAACTCCCACGATTTTCCTGAAAAACTGGAAATGCACCAGACGCGCAGGGCTCCGGCTGAAACACGCGCTGTATGCCAGCCATCCTCGCGGTACATTATTCGTCACAGAAAAACAGTTATGCAGCAATTGTTTTACTCTGGTTTACTCAGTTTGGGGGACGTAAAATTAGGCTCCCAGTGGGGAAATCTGCCCCCTCCCAATCTGTCGCCCATGAACAATGTGATAGCCACCCCGATCTTTACCTCTAAAAACTTAAGGTGTACTTCCTTTACAAAGCAAAAGCGTTAAGTTTAGACTTTCGGATGCATGTGTTGGACGTGCAATAGGCGGACATTTTAGTAGTTTCCCCATGCAAAAGCACCGTCGCTTCATTGCAGTCTTTGCTTGCTGGTTTTGCTGTAAAACGGTGTATTTGGGGTAGAGCTGAGTATCAGATGAACAGCCCGGTGCTTGGCGTGTTTGAAGGGGTTATTATACAGGCGTGACATGCCTTGGTTGCAGTTCCCTCTGGGTGAGTATATGCCATAGCCATAATTTAACTGACAGCCCGGTGTCCGTTGTCCGGCTCTTGAGAGACCTTTCAGAAGTAACTTTGTAACTAATATGAAGGAGCTCGTGTAAGAGCAAGTAAATGTAACTTTTTCTCAATTATTGTCCTAAAGTGAGCCTGTTTTGCCTCTTAGTTCAGAAAAAAGCAGATAGCTTAACTATAAAGCTCTACTTTCTGTATTTCTCCAAGAAGCACATCTCTACTGGAGCCACATTACTCTCTCTGTACACTACAGACGTTTTCTGTAGATTTGTATGAATGCTTCGCTCAACCACCTTTCTTATATAAAAGGCGTTAAATTGGTTAAAATGCCAATTCTGATAGAGAATTGGGCTGGGGAATCAAGGTTGAGAAGGCAAACATTACACGGAATGGAAACTCAGGTTTTGAAGCCATAACTGAAGACTTAAAAAGTTAAAAAAAAGTTTAAAACAAGATAACGGTGAATCGAGTCGACACCTGAAGTGAGGCTCGGAAACAGCTGACTAAGGACATTCCCTCACTTTGGCATGATGCTCTCTGGGTCTCCTGAGCACTGTGATCACAGCCAGATTCCCCTGCTGTAGTGACAGCCAGTTATATAAGTGGCTTTCTCCTGATCTGTTTAAGGGAGACGCTGGGTGCCTCTCCGTGTGAAGGGCTACTGTTTTGTCTGTTGTGATTGTGTTTTGTGACCTGCCACATGGATGTGTCTGCCTCGGTGTTTGTCCCTGGGCTGTGCTGCAGGCAGGGGCGCCGCTAGCAATTTTGGGCCCTATGACAAAATATGAGGTTGGGCCCCCCTACGGTAACTTATTATTAATAAAGCAGATCTCTGGGGGGCCCTAAAGGGCGTGGGCCCTTAGAATTGTCCCAACTTTCCCCCCCTTAGCGGCGCCCCTGGCTGCAGGTGTGATGTCAGTGTAAGGAAGCATGCAGCTATGGTGAGCTCAGAGTCCGTGATGCAGGAGTGTTTAAGGGCATTTTGAGATGTTGTGATGCCCCTCGGTCTATCCGGCGCTGCCTAGGAATAGCTCTCGCAGTCTTCTTACACAATGCAGTTTGGCACCAATTAGTCTGTCAAATGCTTTACTCCCCCCCCCCCCCCCCATCTCCATGACAACACAGATCCATGTTTTTTTTTCACCCCCACACCCCCTTATATTTCCACTTGAATGTAGAGTGTTTGCAGATTAAGGATAGTTTTCAAGGCAGCTGTCAAGGTGTAAGACGAAAAGTTCACATTTGAAAGAATAAAGATGTGGAGCGCAGGCTTTCTGTTGCCGCATGCCTGCCTGAACCTGCCGGTGTTACTGCAGCCTGCCGCATGCTGTCATTGCAGGGCCTGTATCTGAGGAGAGAGAGACTTGTTGTAACCATGTTGAAACTTGACTTCTGGTATTCAGTGGCACCTGAATAGCTTGGGCTGGAAATTGGAACAGAACTGATCTGAATCCTGGTATGCAATGGCGCCTGAGGGAGGGGAATAGAAATTGGAAAGGAATAGAATTGACCTGAACGGTGACGCCTAATGGCCCTGAATTTGATTTGTGTTCGCTAGTAGTGGTTATGGCTTCTATGTTATTTTGGCTGCAGTGGGCCGATGCAGTAGTAGTTCAAGGACGACTTGAAATGTAAACCTGTTCATAAAATAAACTCAGACTGAAGTTTTTTTCCCCTATTATTATTTACTGAAATAGTTTGGAATGACACAGTATTCACTGTTAAGTTCTGCAGATGGGGTAATTCATAAAGGTCATTCTGTTTAAAAAAGAAAAGTCCTGTTTGATTATGAACAAGGTCTTTGTACTTGTTTTTCTTAAAGTCCATGAATTTGTTCTAATTCCTCGTGTTTTTCACATCTTCAAGGGGAGGGAGCAGGTCTGGGACGCCGTCGGGACCTTGTCTTTGTTTTTCCGCTTTCTGTGTTACTGTAAGCTGAAACCTGAGGCCGGCTCTGCGTGGAAGAGTGCCAGAGGTCGAAGACCGCACAGACACGGGTCCGGTCCGGACGTCGGCTCAAACCCTCCCCCCGAAACTGCAGCGTGCCGTACCGACTCGATGCCAGGAACGGCCATCTCTCGCCGGCCCGGCCGTGTTTATTTAACGGTTTTTCCTGATCCCAGCTACTGCTCATGTGCGATAATGTGGTCGGAGTCGTGTTGCCACGAGAACAATAATGCATTATTCCCCAACCCGATCGTAAGCGGAGCGGGCCGAAGCCCCGGCGTCTCCTGAGGACCGAGGCACCTCTGCGTTTGTCCCTTCGGCTTTCGGGATGCCGTCTGAGGGTTCTGTACAGAGTAGCGAGTGCGGTGTGTGTTTGCACGCATGTGTGCCCCCCCCCCCAGCCCTGGCACGTTGCTGACATTTCTTCTCATAAAGGCTCGCTGTTTTCCACCGGGGCGGGCCTGTCGTTTTCGGGGCACGGCGGGGGGTAATCACCCCGAGCCGCCCCATGCGCAAATTACCAGCGTAATAATGTGCTGTTTCTATTGTGAGAACAAAGTCGACCCTGTCCTCTGCCACCACCCCC